AACTATCACAACATATTTTCTTTATCATCTGGAGCAAGGATTCTCCTGGGTGCCCTTTCCTGACTCCATTCCCCCACCAATTTTCTCCCCTGGAACTTTTGAGAAACATTCATTTACCCATCAAAGTTTTATGTCACTTGGCTTCCATTGGGCTAGAATTGATTAAAAATGCAGTTGCACATTTTGGCACTAAAATTACATATATCAGGAATTGACAAATATGGCCCATGAGCCAAATCCTGCCTGCTGCCTGGTTTTGTAAGTAGAGTTTTATTGTGAACACAGCCACACCCATTCATTTGTCATTTGTGTATGGTCTATGGCTGCTTTTGGACTATAGAGCTGAGTGATGCAATTGCAACAGAAACCACATGGCCCAAAAGAGCCTAATATATTTACTATCTGGCCCTTTGCACACAAAGTTTGATGGTTTGTAATCCAGATGAAATAAACTGAGTTCATATTATTTTTTATAGAATATTATCAAGATGAGAAAACATAGTTTCTCATAGAGAACTCTCAGGGCTTGGATGCCAGTTTGAGAAATATTTTAGAAGTTATTTATGAGAAATGCAGATTTTTAGTATTTTAGTGACTTTCAAAGGCGGAGGAAAGCAATGCATTCCTATTTCCTTCGAATTTGTGAACTGAATGCATGCACCAGCTCTGGGGGTTCTGAGTAGCCCTTCACACATAGCAGGCATCACCTCCCCAGCACATGTAGGGCTGTATTTCCTAACCTCCTTGTGGGTGAACAAGGCCATGTGACTCATTCTGGTCAATGAGCCAAGTGATGTGTCTGCCTTTCTGAGCCAGAGCATTTACTTATCAATGCAAGGCCTCCTAGCCGTCTATCTTTCTAGCACAACCGGTGACATTCAAGAGGGTGGCTGCCCCCATGAGCTTGGGTTCCTGAGTGACCATCATTTGCAAAGCCTTCTCACCAGTCCCCAATGGGTACATAACATGAGCGAGAAATAAGCCTTTGCATTAGTTCGCTAGGGCTACTGTAAAAAGCACCACGGAGTGAGTGGCTTAACCCACAGAAATGCATTTTCTCACAAGTCTGGAGATCAGAAGTCTGAGAGCAAAGCACAGCAGCATTGGTTTGCTCCTAGGGCTGTGAGGGAGGAATCTGCTTCAAGCCTTTCTCCTTGGCTTGTAGGTAGGTGGCCATCTTCTCTCTTGTATTGTCTTCCTTCTGTGTGTCCCTGTGTCCACATTTCCTCTTCTTCTCAGGGACTTTGGTCCTTTTGGATTGGAGCCCATCCTAATGACCTCATTTTAATTTAATGACCTCTTAAAGACCCTATCTCCGAATACGGTCACATTCTGAGGTACTGAGAGTTAGGACTTCAACATAGGAATTGGGGGGTAAGGGCACTGTTTAGCCCATAACAACCCTTATTATTGTAAGCTACTGAGATGTGGGAATTATCTGTTACCACAGCATAACCCAGACTACCCTGCCTGATACAAAGGAGCAATCACATGTAGAGTCAAAACAACAGCTTCTCCGAGTTGTCTGTGCTTATTTATTAAAAGCCACACCAGGACATTTTATTTTATTTTATTTTATTTTATTTTATTTTATTTTATTTTATTTTATTTTATTTTATTAGTTTATATGTGTCACGGCCATGAATAAATTAGCTCACAGCAATATCCTTATAGCTAGAACATTATTTTCCCCCCATTTTAGGAAGTTGAGTGCCAGAGAAGATAAATGTTTCTTCCCAGCAGACAGGAAAGCGCCAGGCCCAGGATGACTGCCAGTCATGTGCCCGTTCCAGCTGCCCGGTCACCTTCCTGCCTCCCTGGCCCCCAGGCTGGCCAGGCCTGTCACCGGGTGGCACTCTTCCCCTCAGGCCAGCCCTGTCCGTGACGGTTATGAACTCGGGATGCCTCTAGCTCACTTAGATGTTATCATCCGACTTGTGACAGATTAATTCCTTAATCACCTGTTTGTGTTTTTTCACTTAATATGAAGCCTCACATGCTATTTCCTCACGATTATGAAACCGTCAGAGATCTAAGAGCTGGTTTATTTTCCAGGGGGATGTCCTCCAGACTCTGAAAGGGGTTCACCAGGGAAGGAAATGCCCTCTGCATTAGCTTCCTTGGCTGCTGCAACTATTTGTCACAGACTTGGTGAATAGAAACCACAGAAATGTTCTCTCGCAGTTCTAGAGTTCAGGAGCCTACAATCTAGGTGTCATCGAGGCCACCTGTACTCCGAAAGTTCTTGGGGAGACCGCTTCCTGCCTCTTCCCGCTCCCGGTGCTCCTGGCGTGCCTCGGCTTCCTGGGCTGTCGCTCCCCGCTCTGCCTCTGTCTTTGCGTGGCCTTTTCCTGTCACATCTCAAGTCTCCCTCCGCCTGTCTCCTATGGGACACTTGTCATTGGATTTAAGGTCCACCTGAGTAATCCAGGATGATCTAACCTCAGGATCCTTCACTTATTTACATCAGCAAAGACCCTTTTTCCAAATAAGGTCACACCCACAACTTCCAAGGATTAGGACAGGGCTTCCTCCTTTGGGGGCCACTGTGCAACACATTCTCTCTGTGGAGCATCATAAAAACTTAATCACTTGAACCTTCCCAAGAACCTTCTGAAAAGTCCATGTGCACCTTTAAAGATAAGGAAATCATGGCAATGAGAGCTTAAGCAACCGATTGGAGGTCTAATAGCTAAGTTAATGTCAAGGCCAGCCTTCTCCCCAGGAAGGTCTAACTCCACTCTATCCCCATCAAGGGGGAGAAAGCAACATGAGTTAGTGCGCTCCATACCAGAAGATAGATGTGGGAACAAGGGGCCAACATGGCAGGCAGGCAGAGTGTTGGCTCGATTTAAGGAAGAATTCTGTGACAGTTAAAGGTGCCTGTAACCAGCGGGCCACGTGGCTCCCCGAGGCTCCCTTCACTGAGCATCCAACCATAAGTTGACAGCCATCTGCCATGGATGTATTAAGTCCCACCCTGGAAGGAAGGTTGTTGGGCCAGGGGAGCTTGATGGGCCATACATGTGCTGTGTTCAATGGAGCACGAACCAATTTTAGGCAGCTCTATAAAAGTCTGGCATTCTGTGATTTGCAATATTAAATCCATAACAGTCCATGTCTTCATAATCTTACCATTTAGGTAAAAGAAAAGCAGTATCTGACCACGTTCATTTCCCAGGCTGCTGGTATGTTCTCTCTTTTTTAGGATTAATTTCATAGCCTTTATGTTTGCTTTTCCTTCTGTGAATAAGTATAAGAACTATTGTTCTTTGGTTCTAACCCAGTTTTCACAGAAAAGGAGACACCTACAAATGGAAGGGATTTCTGAGTCAAAGAACAATAGTTCTTATACTCTCTTTAGAGCAGTGGTTGGCAAACCGCGGCTCGGCAAACTGCAGCTCACGAGCCACATGCGGCTCTTTGGCCCTTGAGTGTGGCTCTTCCACAAAATACCGACTTCTGCGCATGGGCCATGAAGTTTCAATCGCACTGTACGTGCGTGCCCGCACGTGGTATTTTATGGTATGTTGTGGACCACAACATATGGCAGTTTGCCGACCACGGCTTTAGAGCATTCCTGAGACATGAATGGGGCCTGAATTCTCCATTCCTTTCATGAATTACTCCATGTGTGCCAAATATCAATCCGTATACTTTTTTTCTACAAGTTTTTAGTTTCTTGCGCTGTATGTTAGCGAATCTGGTGTAAGGACTTCCTGGCAGCCTCTCTTTGATTACGATTCTCCATTTGCCAAGGTTTGAATGCCTTCATTCTGAAGGCCCGAGAACCCTGACACAGGAGAGGGGCCATCTGAATTCAACAGAACAATATAACAACCACGAACCTTCCCTAGTGCTTACTGTGCACCAGATCCCTGAGTACTTTGAGCATATGAACTCATTTAACTGTCGTAGCAAGCCCATGCAGTAGGTACTATTCAAATTACTCCCATTCAAAAGATGAAGAAACAGAGGCATGAGAGGTTAAGTAATTTGCAAGGAGCAGGGCCAGGATTCAAATCCAGGCAGTTGGGTTCCATGATCCCCATCCTTAACCACCTTGCCCTGCCTTGTGTTGCAGGCCTGCTGATGGCCAAGGGACCCTGGGTGAGTTGTCCACTTTCCTGGGAAGTGGCTTCTGCATCTGTGAAATAAAGGACTGGCCAGGTGCTCCATCTCTGAGGTTCTAGGAGGCAGCATTTCCAGGTGATGACACTGTGTCCACATGAGGCTCTAGGTTACACCCGTGGACCAGTGTAGAACCCTCAATTCACCTCATAGGAAAGGCTCCTAGTCTGTTTGCAAGCTCTCTGTGCGTGAAAAGAACCTCACTTGACTCAGAAATCCCTTCCATTTGTAGGTGTCTCCTTTTCTGTGAAAACTGCAACCCATTTCCCTCACTATTGCAATGTGCCACTGAAGAACCGGTGCTCAGCACGCATTCAAACACCCTCTGCATCCTTAGTTATTAGTATTCCCTAACTTCCTTTTGGCAAAATATACCATTCATCATATACACTAGATTCACTTATTTATTCACCATATACACATTTATTGAGTGTCTATGATGTTCCAGGCACTGTGATAGGCTCTGTGTTTATATTTACATTTCAGTTAAATCAGATTTTGGTGGTTGTATTAGGGTTAGGCTAGCTGCTATAACAGATAAGTCTCCATATTTTAATGGCTTAACAGGTAAAAGTTTATTTCCTATTCAGATAAAGTGTAAAACTGGTTCTAACCCAGATTCTTTCCCTCCCATGGCTCCACCCTCCCCTGGGGCGTGGGAGTGATTTACACTCAACAGCCTGCTGGGAAATGAGCCAGAGTAGAGAAGGAACACCTTTTCTCCCAGTCACCTTTGCCCAGAAGTGACACTCACACTGGTGATGTGATGCCTGGTCTGGGGTGGGTGGATAGAGGTGGGGTGCTGAGATATGTCACCCTAGGTCATCAGTCTCTTCCCAAAGGGCAGCCTCTTTCGTGGGTGGCAGCCTCTCCAGTAGGTGGCAGTCAGTGTGGCTAATCTGTGGCAAGTTTACCAGAATGCACCTATGCGGACTGCCGGACCCTCTAGTGGAGTTTTCCCAGGCAGATGTGTCCTACATCAGTGACACTGACATTACTCAGCACATCTTTGGCAACCCTTCTTTGGAAGTTACTTTTAAATCAATTCAAGAACAAAAGCTCTTCCTTTGTAAATCTTCGTGACATTATGCATTCTTTGTGGGCTGATTTAATTCTTGCAAATTAGTCATGAGTCATTCAGAGTCAAGTCTGGAGCTTAAAACAGAGGCTTCATCGTGCTGTTTTGAATCAGAGTCAAAATGTATCAATAAAGAGACTGATTCTCCTGTGTGCCCAATGAACTGGCTCTGAAAACAATTACCTGAGAGGAGGTGAGCTCCCAGTGTTTTGAGCAAAGGTAGGACAATTTGATTAAGGTGGCAGGAGCAAGAAAGCTGTTCCAGGTGTCAGAGGATTTATTTGAATATTAAAAGTGTAGCCTGGGACCAATCCCGGGACCAATCTCGGGACCAACCCTGGGACCAACACCAGGACCTCTGTGGGCCTTGTTTCCTCATCTATAAATTGAGGAGAGAGAAAGGGGATTAGATCACCTCTCACCTTCCTCGAAGCTCTGACATTTGGGATTCTAAACTAAAGCTTTCAAATACAACCTCTCATCTTCATAGGTGAGTTCCCGGCTGTTTATCTAAATACAGCTTCAGCCCGATCCGGTTTGGCTCAGTGGATAGAGCGTTGGCCTGTGGACTGAAGGGTCCCGGGTTTGATTCCAGTCAAGGGCATGTACCTTGGTTGTGGGCACATCCCCGGGGGGGGGGGGGGGGGGCGTATGCAGGATGCAGCTGATCGATGTTTCTAACTCTCTATCCCTCTCACCTTCCTCTCTGTAAAAAAAATCAATAAAATATATTTTTAAAAATTAAAAATAAATAAATACAGCTTCATTATTACTAAAACTCAACCTTGTATTTCAGGTTATGTACACGCTGTGAGTTCTAGAATCGGAAAAGCCCAGGCTGGAAGACCATCCGTCAGGGTGCTTGTGGGTCACATATAACACCGAATAGGTCCCAGAACAGTGCCTGGTACTGGAGAGCCCCAGTCAGTACTTGCTGACAGAACTGGGTTATTTTGATTATTTCTGTCCCCCATCCACTCCCGGGCCTGCTCTGTCCCATCCCTGCCAGTGAATGGGACCCCTTGGCATGTCCCTCAAAAGAGGACTCACTGCTTCCCTCTTTGGGTAGTGCTGTTTTTAATGTTTTATTTTATAAAAAGTAATAAGTAATAATAACAGCTAATAACTCCTATTCTCTATTCCCAGCTCCTCTTTTCAGAGCCTGCTGTAAAAATAAGTCTTCCATGAGACAGCCCTCACACACCGAATGCCGGGTACAAACTCCCCATGGTCTCTCCAGAATCCGTAGGTTTGTACGTTCTCAATTGTTCCCTTATAAAGATGAGTTCTTGTTCTTTCACAATGCGGACTCCTCCTCAAATAGACACCAGCTTGTCTTTATTTCCCTTCAATGGGGCACCTGGATGAACCGGATGTGTGATTGGGCCTGAGCCAAGCAGAACAGAACTGTCTCAGGGTCTCAACCTGGGCTGGCCTGGGCCTTAGAATCACCTGGGAAGCTTTTTAACATCCGGATGCCCAGGCCACACCCCAGACCATTTACATGGGATTCCCCCCAAATTTGATATCAATATATCTTAAAGCTTCTGGGTTATTCTAGTGCACAGCCAAGATGGGAGCAGCACTGTTCTAGATGCTCATTCCTATTAATGTGAGCCAAGGTTACAATCGGTGTCTGCCAGTCTCATTCATCTCAAAGCTGAGTCACATTTAATCTACTGTTAAGAAAAATCACATCTTTTTTTATGAAGCCAGCGGTCCCCAATTCTTTATTGTGTACTTGGTTTTTTTTAATACACCAATACAACTATTCCATACAGATGAAATCTTTTCTGGTTAAATCTGGCCCTTTTGAATAACCCAAAAGGCAGCAAACATTTCTGAAAAGGACCAAATGGTAAATACTTTATGCTGAGATCCATACAGTCTCTGGAGCAACTAATCAAGTCTGCCATGGTAGCCCGAAAGCAGCCATAGACAATGTGCAAACAATTGATGTGGCTGTGCACTACTTAAACTTTATTTATAGAAACAGGCAGTGGGCCAGGTTGGCCTATGCTATGGGTTGTTGTTTGCCAACCCCTGGTATAAGTGATCAATTTTATTTTGGTTCCCAATTCTTTCACATAACACATCAGCTATGCTTTCCACCCTCTGTTGATTTACAAGTCAGATAAGCACCCTTTTTTACTTCCATCTAAATTCTGGATAAAATGAATGAAACTAGTCCAAATCAGAGCTTGTCAAAACGACATTAGGATGGCTATTATTTAAAAATAAATAAAACAAAACAACCGGTGTTGGTGAGGATGTGGAATGGAAGCCTTATGCATTGTTGGTGGGAATGTAAGACTGGTCTACCTGCAGTGAAAAACAGTATAGTAGTTCCTAAAAAAAAAAGTTAAACTTCGAATCTTCATGTGATCTAGCAATTCCAATCTTAGTGTATGCCTAAAGGAATCGAAAGCAGACACACAAACAGATATTTGTACACCCATGTTCATAGCAGCATTATTCACAACAGCTAAAACATGGAACAACCCAAGTGTTCATTAATGGATAAATGGATAAGTGAAATGTGGCCTATACCCACAATGGAATATTATTCAGCATTAAAAAGGAAGGAGAGCCCTAGCTGGTTTTTGCTCAGTGGATAGAGCATCGGCCTGCGGACCAAAGGGTTTGATTAAGGATCAAGGGCACATACGTTGGTGGCAGGCTCCTCCCCAGCCCGGGCCCTGGTCAGGACTCGTGCAGGAGGTAACCAAGTGATGTGTTTCTCTCATCGATATTTCTCTTTGTCTTTCCCTCTCTCTAAAAATCAATGGGAAAATATCCTTGGGTAAGGATTTTTAAAAAATGCAAGATTTGGACACATGCTACAGGGATGAACCTTGAAGACATTATGCTAAGTGAAATAAGCCAGACACAAAAGGACGAATACTGGATGGTTCCACTTATATGGGGACCTAGAGTAAGGCAATTTTAAAAAGATAGAAAGTAGGATAGAGGTTACCAGGGCCTGGGGGAAGTAGGGAAGGGTGAGTTAGTGGTTAACATTACAGAGTTTCAGTTTGGGATGATGAAAAAGCTCTGGTGGTGATGGTTGCACAACAATGTAAATATGTTTAATGCACTAAACTGTGCACTTAAAAATAATCAAAATGGTAAATTTTATTGTTTATATTTTACGACAAGTTAAAAAAAAAAAAGAAGGAACAGCCTGAGGGCCCGCCCCTGAGGACCTCCCTCCAGCTCTCATCAATGCCTGAGTCGGTACACCTTGCATATAACCATTCAGTCTGTAGCATAGAGCAGGCCGTAGAAATTTGTGAAGAAAAATAAGTGAATGGACCAGATATCAATCTCTCATCAACATCATTTTCCTCTTATCGATACGATCATAATAGAGCTCATAAATGCCTTAGTATGTTTACTAATCTATTAGTATATCTATTAATTACAGCTCAGTCACCTGTTAAGGAATTGACGTGGGCTTTTCATTCTAAAAAAGAACAGCTGGTGAAAGAGGCCCAGAAATCAGGATTTAAAAAAGATTCCCAGGTGATTCTAATTGTGCAGCCACGGTTGAGAACCACTGACCTACAAGCTGCCCAACCCTCCGTGTTGAGAAGTTCCCTTTGGGGTCGGCGATAGCCTCCTGACATGAACAGACACCTGGAAGGGTCTGCCGGGCTCCTTATGACAAATGGAACAAGGTACTCCTCTTCCGTGTTTTTGCTTATCTCTGTGTATATACTGCAAAATATCCACAAGGGAGCCGAGTATCACAATAGCGGGTTCGGAGAGTGAAGGGAGCCGGCTCCGTGGTGTGTAGCTCCCTCTAGTGTTGAACGAGGGGAAAGGGCAGACAAACAGGCATTTTTTGGTAAAACAGTTAAGTTTGTCATGCAATTTCCAACAGCTGTCCGTTGTACCTATTACATTCTAATGGAAACTTTCAGGTGTAATATGAAAACACTTAGGACTACTTAATTAACTGTCTACAAAAAAAGAAAGGAAAGAAAACGTTTTTAATTTAGTTCTGATTCCCAAGACAGTGTTCTATGGTGGTAAAAATCCTCTTATGACATAGGATATATTAAGGAGCAAAACCAATTCCCAATTGTCCCTTAAGCCATTATCCTCTCACCATGATCCCACAGAGTTCCATAATACTTCTGGGATTACCACACACTACAGGGGCCTTCCTTTTAAAGTAAGAGTGGATAAGCCCAGCAACAGATCTGCTTTGAAGGCAGAGCTCTCACCACCCAGACCCTTCTCCTCTAAGGTTTGATTTGATTATTTTTCTCTTGAAAGTAAGTTGTTTACTCTTCATATTTTTGAGGAATAATGAAAGCCATAGAACCAACCCCCTTCTATGCCCCTCAAATGCACACACACATACAACTGCACACACAAGTCCAGGAGAGCCAGTCTCCCTAAAGTCTGGTCAAGGGCCCTGGATTCCAGGTTAAGAATCCAAAACGGCCCTTTGCCAGGTAGCTCAGTTGGTTGGAGTGTCATCCCCATATGCCAGCGTTATGGGTTCGATCCTTGGTCAGGGTGCATACAAGAGTCAACTAATGACGGCATAAATAAGTGGAACAACAAAATTGATCTCCTCTCTCTCTCTCTCTCTCTCTCTCTCTCTCTCTCTCTCTCTCTCTCTCTCTCTCACCACCCAGACCCTTCTCCTCTAAGGTTTGATTTGATTATTTTTCTCTTGAAAGATATTTTTCTCTCTCTCTTTCTTCTTCTTCTTCTTCTTCTTCTTCTTCTTCTTCTTCTTCTTCTTCTTCTTCTTCTTCTTCTCCTCTTCTTCTTCTTCTTCATCTTCTTTCTCTCTCTAAAAAAAAAAATCAATCAAAAAAATTTTAAAGAATCCAAAAGGGGCTGACATTCCCTTCATCTGGGAGTGTGGAGTCCATTGAAAACAGAGCTCCATCCTTCCCTCAGGTGCCTGCAGCCAATATGAGCTAGAGTTGTAATAAACGCCACCTGTCAGGGCACTGGCCGTTTTCAGAGTAGCTCACAAGTGTTATCCCGTGATCTCTCAGAGCACTCTGGTGAGATCAGTAAGGGCAGAAGCACTCAGTGCAGGGTGACAGCCACCAAGGGAAATACTAGAGAAATGCAGAGAGAAAATAGGGACTAGGACCGGTCATTATCATAACCAAATCTTTATCAAATATCCGACCCTCTTCTCTATACCCATGATGCCATCTGCTGGCAGCCACAGTGAAGAGAAACAAGGGTAGGTGATTGCAATGCCTTGGGAAGGTGACATCTACGGAGGCTGTGCTCAGTCCGTGGGTAGCTGAGCTATACTTACTGAGCTGTTTGTGGGGTCACCTAAGAGGCCTATCACTAAACAAATGGGTGTGTTTTCAGCTGGTGGGATACCCAGACTACCGAAAGTCATTATCTTCCCACCACCGCTAAGGATGCCTGAGTCCCACAGTGTCTGGGACTGCTATACTGCAGTGATCAGCTATGCACCTTTATCTCACAGGTTCTCCTGTGGACTAGGCACCATGATTACTTCTTAGACTAGCATAGCACAGTGCCCAACACATAATCTCAGTTTCAAGCTCTACTCAAGAACCATCACCTTGGGTATCTGTCTAGGTTCTCCAAGAAGCAGGTGCCAAGATGGGATTAAATGTGCAAGGATTTGAACAGGGGAAGTGTCTATGTGAGAAAAAATAGGTAGGTAGATGGGTAAGGCTGGGAGAGCTGGAGAACATGGTTCAAGTCTGAGATGAGTGAAAGAGAATGGGAGGGAAGGTTGGGTGGAAGATCCTTGAATTATCGTGTCATTAAAGGAAGGTCCATCAAAGTTGTGGGGAGTAGGGTCCTTGAGCCAAAGCCAGCTATCTAAGGAGTATGTGCCCCTGAGTAGACCAACCTTAGTGACCCTGCCACACTTGTCGCAGCAGTAAGTTTGGTCTTGGTGCAAACAGAAGCCTTAGTCAGTGACACACCCTGTAGTTGGAGATCTGTGAGTACATTATGGCCCCCACATCATCTATCCCACCAGCTCACTTCAGTTCTCCAGCCTCATGGAGATCTTTATGTTGCCAAGCTTGCTTTTCCACCATCCATCATTCCGTTGTGTCCTTGTTCCCTTTCTCACACAATTTGGATTTCAGGGCCCATCCTTAGACTCTCTCCCTTGCAAACACCCTTAACTCTGCTGACTCCCTCTCTCTCTGAGATGCTCATTTGTTCTATTTCCCACTCCCTCCTTCCTAAAAGAACCCTCATTGTGCTAATGGTACTCACCATACTATCCTAAGCCAGTGCTCCTCAAATGTCAGAATCACCTGAAAGGCTTGTTGAAGCACAGACTACCAGGCCACACACTATTCCAATTCAAGAAGTCTCAATGGAAGTCTCAAGAAGGTCATGGTTTGATTCCGGTCAGGGCACATGCCTGGTTTGTGGGCTCCATCCCCGGTGTGGGGTGTGCAGGAGGCAGCCAATCAATGATTCTCTCATCATGGATTTTTCTATCTCTTTCCCTCTCCCTCCCTCTCTGAAATCAATAAAACTATATTTTTTTTTTAAAAAAAAAAAGAAAGGTAGAGGCAGTCTGAAAAGAATTGCTTCATCTCTACCACCAAGTCTATCACCTTACCTGTGTTTCTACCTATAAACCTCAACTTTCCTCCTGTTAGAGATGAGGAAGGCTTCCTGCTCTTACTGGAGGCCAAACCCTCCACTTGTGTTTTAGATTTCAATGCCTTCCTGGTTTCAAGGACTCTACTCTTGCAATTATCTATCCCCTTCCCTCATAGGGATTTGTGCCTCAACCAGATCATTCCCATTGGCAAATAAACATGATAGGATAACATGGTCTTTCAGAAAATGTTCTCTCTTGACTCCAAGTCCACTCCAGCTACTCCATCTCTTGCCTGCCCCCTTTCCGATCTCCTATTAGCTCTTGAACCTGTCCCAATTGGGCTTTCTCAGTGTCTGCCATTCTAGTGAAATGGCACTTCTCAAGGTCGTCATCATGTTATACGTCAAAGGCAATAGTCAATTCTCAATCTTCATCTAAACTAGATCTTTCAGCAGCAATTGACACAGTTGACTTCCCCTTTATCTCAAAATACTTTTAGGCTCTGTGAATCTCTTCCCACTATACTGATCTCTCCTACACCGGTTCTTCCTCAGCTCCCCAACTCCAAGTATTGATGTTAGATAGACTTGGTCTTCTCCTCTTTCTTTCTCTGTATCTATACTCCCTCTCTAAGTGGTCTCCTCTAGCCATGGGACTTTATATATACAAATACATAAATTAAATCGATTATTGTCCAACTCATAGACGCCTCTCCCTCACGTGCCAGACTCACTGTCTACTTGATATTGCCACTTGCATGTCTAATATGCATTCCATCTTTACTTGATAGGGCCTTTTCCTCTGTGGAATTCCAGCTCCCTCATTGCCTTGCAACATCAGTTGTGTGAAGTGCTTAAGAAAAGTTATGATGCTATAATTTACCCAGCTTTCTCTTATTGTCAGGGTGAGAGCAATGCTCTTTCCAGCTTTCTGTATCCTTGGTGGGAGGTGAGTCATCACACAGAGGAATTGCAAGTCCAAATGAAGAAAAATAAGTGCAGTCACTTATTAGATTCTATAGTCTTCATAAAAAATGAAAGTTATTACATTTACACAGGGCAGCAGGCAAGATCTGTAGCAATGCACCATGATTTGTAACAATGGAAACAATAAAAATTTGTGTCGACCACAGAGTAGATGAAGTGTGATATGGCCACACCATAGAATGCTACACAATGAAATGAACACATGATTATACTCACTGATGCTATTGAACATAAGAAACATGTGAGGCTAAAGAAGCCAGGCACAAAAGAGTAGACAGAGTATGATTCCATTTATAGAAAGTTCAAACATGCAAAAAACTAAAAAAATATATTTTCGGGTATATCATATATCATAAGCTATAATGAGAAGCAAGAGAATGATTAACACAAATGTCAGAATAGTGATCAATATTTTTTAAAATTGGTTAAAAAAACACACCACCAAGTACAATTTCGGATTTTTGTTTCCCCATTGTCCTCACTGCTTTATGGCACTTTAAGGAAGGTCAGATGTAATAACTGATGATGTGCTGGTCTGATTAAACATTAATTTTCTAGCTCTGGAGGTGGAGCCTGAATTAGATCCTTTTCTCTGTGGATGTGAGGACTTTACTCAGTGGCAGTGACTCACAAAAAATGTGAGTTTCATTGCCACCTCTTGTTGTCTTGACCTGGAGGGTTAGACATGAAGAATCTCTGTTAAAGGAGGGAATTAAAGGTTCAAAGTGTTTCTGAATCTAGGCAAGGTTTGGTATGTGCTGACTGCAGAAAGGGGTGGGTGTGATGTAATGTAACAGTCTAGGGCAGTGGTCAGCAAACTGCGGCCCCTTGAGTGTGGCTCTTCCACAAAATACCACGTGCGGGCGCGCACGTACAGTGCGATTAAAACTTCGTGGCCACACTGAAGGGGCCAAAGAGCCGCATGTGGCTTGCGAGCCGTGGTTTGCCGACCACGGGTCTAGGGGGGCCCCAAAATAGCTGGGTCCCCTCTTGTCTCACTGAAGGAAGACTAGCCCCTTGGTCAGTGGGTAGAAGAGCAGCAGAACATTTAGTGACACAATAAAGAAAGTCACTTTCAAAATGGCATGTGTTTTGA